AGATGAGAAAACTGCGCCACCAAAATTTGTTTTCCTATCTCAAGGATGAAAATAGTGAGTAACGGAGATAAGACCCAAGCCCAGGGCTTCTTCTCCCAAACGATGTGTGTCTTTTACCCAGTCAGCTTGGAACATCATTTTGTCCAGTGGGCAGATTGATTTTTTTTTTTTTTTTTTGTACTGGGAATTGAATTCAGAGGCTCAAGGGCACTCGCCCACTGAGCCACATCCCCAGCCCTAATATATTTTATTTAGAGACAGGGTCTCATTGAGTTGTTCAGTGCCTCGCCATTGCTGAGGCTGGCTTTGAACTCACGATCCTCCTGCTTCAGCCTCCTGAGCCACTGAGATTACAAGCGTGCACCACCACGCCTGGTTGCAGATTGATTTTTTTTCCTTCTTCAGAAAGATGGTGGAAGGTAGCCTGAGACACAAAACGAGAAGGTACAAAATCAATTAAGATCAGACAGAGGCTTGCAAAGGAGTTCACTTGTTTCCCCTGCCTCTCCCCAAAAGCCTGCTGAAAATCTCAGGTCTGCTAAAAGGCAGAAGAAAGTCAATTTTGTATTGCCTCTTTGGAGCGCATCCCCCTGCAAATCACCTGTATTTATCCTGGGAGCGCGGGCTGTGTGTTCTCCAAATGTGCATTGTACCGTAGGTCCGTGGGCTTCCACCATAAAAAGGCTCTGTTACTTGTAGTCAAAGGTTTCAGGATGAATGTCTTGTAGCATGATACGTCAATATCAAAAGAGATCAGGTAACCCTGGTCAGTGGCCTATGAAGAGATTTCCTTTACAAGTAAGGAAAACTAATAAACCATTGTAGAAAGCATAGATGTCCTTCGGCACTCAAATTCCTAGGCTCCTTCTTAAAATAGGCTTCAAAGCTCACATTCATTTGTTTCCAAGGTACCCGTTTTTTAGGTTTTGTCAGGTCTCTTTTGAGGAACAAAAGTCTGTAAAGTTCTTGTTAAGCTCAAGCTTGTGAGTTTGTTCTACTGGTATCTTTTTTTTTTTTTTTAAAGGTTCTTTGCCCCAGTAACATATGGAGGAAACAGAGAAGAAAAATCCTATTGACATCAAATCGGATTACGAAGCAGACTTAAATCACACCCATTGTATACCAGGCACGATTCTGTGTGCTGTCTATAAATTTATGGAGAGATCCCTGGAACAATTCTGTGAGGTAGATGGTGTCATCAAACTCCTGTCCCAGGGGCGGAACTGCCCAACCCAGAGCTCTTGACAGTGGGTCCTGAATTCAAAGTCAGGCAACCCAACCGCAGGCTCATACTCCTACCCACCACGCTCTCTTGCTTCTCCTCAAGAGGATAGATGAAAAGCTGGTGAGAAACACTTGCCAATGTCAGAGGGAGATGGGGGAGGAAGAGCTCAACACAGCTCAGCCCTGTGCTCCCTGAACCAGGGACATGCCCAGCCACATCCCCCTCCCCCCAATTCCACTATCCTGCTTACCATTCTTATCTTTCATAGCACTCACTGCCATATTGGGTATGACTTAATTTATTTGCTTATTATGTTTATTAGCATTGTTACTCCCTCCTAGATTATAAATTATAAGAAAGCAGGGATTTGGGGCAGTTTTTGTCCACTGATGTCTCCCAAGTCCCTGGAACTGTGCCTGACACACATTAGCTCCTAAATAAACATTTGTTTGCATGGAGAGAAAAGGCTCACTAGCAGACAGGGTGTGCTTTCTAGGAAATGAGAGATTAGCTAGATGGCTTCTAGGCCTTTTCCAAATCTGACATGCTCTGAGTCTAAAAATAACCCAAATTAGGATTTTCAAAACAAAACCAACATAAGGATTAATGGAACTCAAACTCTGAGACCTAATTCCTTGACCTATAAATCAGAATACGGCCGACTGAAGGAGCGAGGGAGCTCTAGAGCAGTGGGCGGGGTGGGAAGCCCTACAACCACGGTCACCAGGAGCGCAGATGGTCTGTGACCTGAGGCAAGTGTCTGAGCGACCTCAGGTCAGTAGTGGACCAGCAGTGCAAGGCTGAGGGCCAGCTTCCTCCAGCAGAGAGCTCCGGACTCAGCCATGGGACCCTCAAAAGCTCAGTGTACCCACCCCAGCCCCTCCTGTCTCCCCTCCCTGCCTTCTGAGCAGGCTCCAGACTTTCTCTCCCAGACCACGGGCTTCCTGAAGACGGGCCTCCATGGGCATTTCCTCTGTGCTCCCTGGAGGATCTCCGTCTAATGTCTAATCTACGTGTTTCCCTGCAGGTATCATTCTGAGAGCTTGTGAACCGGGCTTGGCAGGAGATATGCTGACAATGGAAACTGCTGCCTCCTCCTTCCTCCACTACCCTTCATTCTGCTGGCATCTGCTAAGACCCTGTCATCTGTCAGTCACTGGGTTAGGGCTCAGAACCGGAGGTGAATAAAAGCATACCTGCGTCAAAGGAGCCCTTCATTTAGGGTTCCAGGAGACAAGGAGGGCAGCTCTTGGTGTCCAGGGGACATTGTAGAACAGAGGCAGAGGGACCAAGAGCTGGAAACATGGAGAAGGCTGGGAAAATTCACCTGAGTGTTATCAGGAAGGCTTCCTGAGGGAGATGACATTGGTTTTGTGGTCCAAGGTGGAAACAGCTTTCAATCACCTAAGAGGGAATGTGACCAAACAAGTAAGAGGCAGAGGTAGCAACTAAGTCCGGTGTGCCTGGAACGAAGAGCGTGTGTGGAGGAGATGAAGCTGGTGACCAAGGTGCAGGCAGTGTCCAGGCCAGGGTGAAGGGTCTGGCTTCACCCTGTAAGTGCCAGGGAACTATTGGAAGATTTTGCGCAATCGCTTATTTTACTTATTTATTTTTTAAGAGAGAGAATTTCAATATTTATTTTTTACTTCTTGGCGGACACAACATCTTTGTATGTGGTGCTGAGGATCGAACCTGGGCCGCACGCATGCCAGGCGAGCGCCCTACCGCTTGAGCCGCATCCCCAGCCCCAATCGCTTATTTTAAATGATTAATGTGGAAGTGTGACGTGCGTAGATGGCGGAGTCAAGGGAGTCGGAGGCTACCATGGGAGGCTACCTGGAGAAGGCCAGTGCGTGACCAGAGCATAGGACTGGTCACAAGGAGCCCCTGATGCGGTGCTGGGTTCTGCCTCTCATTCTGGGTTGCAATGCAGCCGTTCCAGGAGATGAGCTCCACACCCCATCTCCACTCTCTGATCTATAGATCTTAACTGATGCAGTTTCTCAGTCTCACAACTGATTGCAAAGAGGGTTTCTCATGGTATTAAAATGACCTCTTCTTCTGTGGCTACAATGACTTTATAGACAAATGCAGAGCTAGATCAGGCAACATTTCCCTTAGTTGGGTCAGGAAAGGCAAATATATGAGTTTTCATATTTTTATTTTAGTTGTTGACAAACCTTTATTTTTTATTAATATATGGTGCTGAGAATCGAACCCAGTGCCTCACACATTCAAGGCATGTGCTCTACCAGTGAGCCACAACCCCAGCCCGAGTTTTCATATTTTTAGTACGTATTTATGATCCACCTAATTCAAGATTTTTTGCTCTATAACATAAAGAACATATAAAAGGCGGCTAAGCTGACAATGGAAAACAAGACATCATAACATTTAGAAAAGAAAGCAAGATTGGGCATCAGACATGTAAGATAGCAAGAAACTTGGCCCTGAGCTTCCCAGCAGGCAGAGCAAAAGCAGAGCATGCTAAGAATTTGTAGTTTAATGGCTCATTTCTGGAACACTTTTTTCTTTCTTCTTCCATGACTAGAATTCTCTCATCTGACATACTTAAGTAGGTTGGCTTCTTGGGGACCACAAATAGTGAAATTCAGATTATTGATCTGGGCTTCAAGTATTTCAGGTGCTAAATTAATTTAAAGTCATTTCACTTTCTTTTGGTTCAGGGATACACAAATGAGGTGCAGAGGTTGAGTGATTTGGGATCTGTAAAATGCAAATGAACAGGAAATTCTTTTAAATAATTCAAAAAAGTCTTATTGTTTTTTAGTATGGGGATGCAGACTCCTAGGGACCTTAAAGAGCACTTTGGCTGGTTTTCAACATGGTCAGACCATCTGGAAGGTTCATGCAGCTGTCAACTGACCCCACAGCGTTGGGGCACGTGGCTGTAAACCAGGCAAGCAAAGCTATCCAGTCCATGGGCCTCCCTTTTATTTTTGTAAAGAAAAAAAAATTTTTCAGTTCAGAGCTAAAAACTTGCAATGAATGAAACCTGCCACCCCAAAGAGAAGTGGATCCACAGGTTTTCTTTCCACAAGCCGGGGTTTTGCCTCCCTTGGGCAAACTCTCAGAAACTTCCCAATGGGGAGCTGTGTGCCTGTTAACCCATGGGTCCTAGCTTTCCTCCAGAGCAGGCAAAAGTTAATCCTGTTTCCACAGGGCAGTCAATTAGCCAAAACACCACCAGATGATAGGAATGGGAAGTAGAGAACTTACTACCCATGCAGGGGGTACTTGATCTTCGAGGTACAGCTACCCTAGGTTTTGGTGAATCAGATGGAGTTCACTGAAGGGAGGGGCCAACTCTTATTCAGCCACAAAGCTTAGTCTAGAATTTTTTACTGCCCCTAGGGCAGGTTTAAGAATGAAATCTTGGAAAACTATCTTCTATATCAGAATTTAAAACAATTTGCCCATGGAATATTACTACCTATGTTATATATACAGGTCACGTTGACTGCTCTTTGTCTCTCTACTTATAAAGGGTGGGTATCTAATGTCCCAGCTGAATCTCATGAAGGGCTGACTATATGAAAGTGCTTGTCACCTGTTGAGTACCACTGCTTCTCTGCCAGTTTGTATAATCTTGGAGAACTACCTCAATCTCCAAATCCTGTCTTCTCCACCAACTGGAGACAAGGACCCCTCCTCCCACAGCAGGATTGCCCAACTGTGAAAAGGCTGTTCAGTGGAACTGCGTTCCTGGGACAGAATTTGAACTAGTGTTATTAAGGAATAACATTTGAATTGCATCATTTAATTGCTATTTATTTTCATAAACATGAGGTATTTCAAAGTGCTATAAGATGCAGCACTAAATATATACATTTTGAAGAAATTAAACACAGAACTTTGCATTTACCCAGTTCTATGCACCAAACATGAACAAATACATTAACAGGAAGAAACAGGCTAGGAAAAGGCATATATATATAGTAAATTTCTTTACAAAAGTTTCTTAGTTCAAAAAGTGATAAAGTAATATCTACTCAAAACTTTCACAACTCATTTTCATACGAAAATATAAGTATCAAATTTAGTTATGTATCAGCATTATACTAAAGTATACAGGCAGTGTAAGAATTAGTACAGTACATAACAGAGATTAACAATATATTTGTATACAAAACATGCTCCTCAAACATTGAGGTATTATTACAGTACTTAGGTGTGAACTTCCAGTCTAATACTGGCCGCAAAAGCCACCTCTCATTACCCAGGACGTATACAAAAGGCGGGTGTGTCAATGGTATTTACAGAAATGTTCCCCAGGGGCATCAAATGGCAACCCCCTTACATGGCATCTGCTGGAACTTAAGCACCATTGTAAAAAGAAGGAATGACTCAGTTGTTTGAAAACTTGGAACGAACAAGGTGACTTCCACAGCCCCAGAGGCTCCCAACTGTCATGAACTTCCACGGCTGTCACAGAAGTGAGGTGCAGGAAACTGCAAAGCCACCCAGCACCCCATCATGTGGGCTCTCCGAGGTCCTGGTAGAACCCCCACATGTCCTGCCCCCCACCCAGATCCAAATGACAGGGGACCGATTTGAAAGTAAACCAACATTCTTAATGTCAACACAATGTTTGTTTAAAAAAAAAAAAAAATCAAAATGTGCAAAGTGGCAGTGACTGTCCATTTGAGAAAGGTTTAGCAAGTCCGAGCGAGTTCGATTTTCTTTAGCAACTGCTGCTGTCTTGCCTGCAATTTCTCCTTTTCCAGCAGAAGCTGGTGCTCCTCGGCCTGGAGGGAGTGGACATACTCGGTGGCTTTTTTCAAAATGACCACCTTGGCGGCCTTCTCATTCTTGACCAGCTCCGGCACGTGGTCCCTGAGCGTGAGGAAGCTGGATCTCAGGTCGTTGCGGCGCTGGCGCTCTAGGATGTTGTGGTTGCGGCGACGCTCGCTGTCCTCGGAGTCTGAGTTTCGAGGGCTCAAGCTCTTGGCCTTTGGTGGGATGACGCTCTTGAGGGGACGGGGGGACACCTCACTCTTGATCTTCTTCTGGGGTGGCGCATCCTCACTCTCCACATAGGGAGAGGGTGCGGCATAGTTGTGCTGCTGGTGGATGGGGACACAGCGTTTGAGGATCAGCTCACTGGACTGAGCCCTCCCCAGGCCCAGGGCTGCGTTCTTGGGGCGCACGGTGATGGTGAACGTGGTGACAGCCTTGCTGTTGGAGGAGGAACGGCGTTTCTCCACAGTGACCACGTCGATTTCCTCTTCTTCATCTTCCTCCTCATCCTCCTCGTCATCTTTGATTAAAGAATGGAGGAACATTCATGTGAGACATACGTGAACAAAATGAACAGACTTCCATGTTTGCGTCTAAGTCCCTTAGGGCAGTCTGTAGCAGGGTCTGCTATTATTGTGGATCCATCAACATGCGAACAGAATGTACTTATTTTGTCTCTTTAAATAACTTTTCCTTCCCCAGACCCCTAGGGTACTATCAGTTTCCTTTCAAGATTTTTGCAGGTGGGACTTGAAGGTGGAGCTCAGTTGTAGAAAACTCGCCAGCATGTGCAAGGCCCTGGGCTCCACCCCCAGCACCAAAACAAAAACAAAAACAACAACAAAAAAAAAACTAGCAGATGGCAGAAATACAAAGAATCCGAGCCTGAGGTCCAACAGAATCCTGGCTCCATGGTACACTAACTGCAAGATCCTGGGCAAGGTACCGAACCTGTCTAAGCCTCAGTTTGTTAGCTCTGCAATGGGGATAATATCACAGCACCTTTGAATTTGGCAAAGAATATGTAGACTTAGCACAGAGCTGGGCTTAGCAGACAGATGCTCAGTAATGGGAGCTTTTAGCATAATCGCCAGGCAATCTGCCCCCTGGACTCATGCACATTTCCATCTTTGCACTTCAGGAGTCTCCTTTGTCAAAACACATGGCTGAGTTTGATTTTCCCTCCTTAAACTTGAGGAACACTTTAATTAACTAAGGAAGAAAAATAACTTTAGTTCCACAAATATGAGTTTCTTACAGTAGGTAGTTTTGCATCTAGCAAAGATCCAATCTTAACTACAGAGCCGTAACCCACAGAAGCTACACACCCCTGAACGGGAGCAGTTCCTAAGTCACCAACAATAACAGCAACAACAAAACGTGTAGCAGCTTGTGTGGGTTTTCCCTCCTCTCCTCATTTACTACCATGCTAGGATAGAAAATTATTGTTTAAAATGCAAGCATGAAAATCAAAACACATCTTCTGCTTGATCTGAGGGGGACCGGAAAGCTGAACAATTGTGGGATTTGTTCTAAAGCTGAAATGGGAGGTTGTTCCAGTCTGTGGGTCCCTTTAAGCCAGTGTTTTGGTTTTCTGCCAAGAAGACAGCTGTTGGAAGGAAATGCTTCCTCACCGAAAGCTGTCAAGGCACAGACATTAAAGGGACAGAGCCCTTTCAAACTGCAGGCTTATCACCAAGTTCCCTTCCAGGAGCCTCAGAAGGATAGGTTCCCAGCCCTGAAGGAAACTTAGGCTTTTTATCCATCTGCATTGTGAAAACACTGGTTCTCAAAGTCCAAGAAGTCTCCAAGGACAAGGGCTATTCTAGTATTGGGGTGGAGTTCTGTACCTCCAGAGCTCAAGGCAAAAGCTAGTTGTTTTTTTTTTAAACCCTTCTCATCCATTTAAGATATAAATACTCACAAAAGAACTAATCTCAGAGTCCTACGGGGATGTTTGCATTCCTGGAGGGGCTGTAAGTGCCCACCCTCACCTTCAAGAGCTCAGGGTAACAAAACACAACCCAGGTCTCCAATGAAGCTGGTATTCCGGCTAGGAGACAAAACTGGGTCCAGTTTTCACTACACAATGGAAAGAGGAGTCCCCTTGAGAATGTGCACAGCCGCTACTGCACTTGCTGCCAGCTGTTGAAGGGGAGGGAGGGAGCCCGGTCACCCCCAGCCTCTCAGATCCTTGGCCCGGCTGCTGGCCAGGCACACCGCCGCCTGCTGGCCACGCACCAGGAGCAAATAGCCCACCACCCACGGAGGGCCGGGGGAGGGGGAAGACCAACGTTCAGGAAAAAAAGAAAACCAGTGCCCGCCATCTGTACAGTCTCCTAACTTCTTGTGCCCTAAATAGGATCTTGTATAGCCCTTGTGTCTTTTGGGGGAGTCTTTCCCCCCGTCCGACCTGGGACTGAGTCCCTTTCCACCTTGGCGCTAACAAGTTTCTGCCCTGGCAAAGAACCCAGCAGCCCTTTAACCCCTACCCGAGTTGGCCACCAACTTTGCCCAGGGTGGGAATAGGGTGAGGCCAGCCGTGGCCCAGAATAAGGTTCCCAAAGAAGGTGGGAACAACTTCAGGGAGGTGAAGTTGGGAAGAGGCACTTGCTACCCCAGCAGCTGTCTGTCTTCGACCCTAAGAGACGCTGGTGGGAATCAGGACCTATGGACCACCAGCGCTGCTGCTCCCCAGAGTCAAAACACCAAAGCTGACAAAGGGACCGCAACCCTCAGCTCCAGGGCCCCAGGGCGGCAGCCAGACCGGGACACAGGCTTTACCTGAGTCGCTCAGGGTGTCCTCTCCGGAGGTACTGAGGGCCTTGTGGTCACCGCCGTTGGCAGGGCGGCCGCCTAAGCGCGGAGGGGCGGCCACCGCGGCACTGGCTGGGGCTGCTGCTCCAGCAACCGCAGCGCCCACGGCAGGGGAACCAGCCGGGGCGACCGGCACAGGCGCTGGATCCCGTTTGTTCACCGGGAAGGGGAAGACGACGGCGGGATCCACGCACTCGGCGGCCGGGTGGGCAAGCTCCGCGGGTAAGGCAGCTCCGGCGCGACCGGCTCCGGCCGTCCCGCCGTGCCCGCGGCCCGCAGGGTTGGCAGCTCCCGCTCCCGGGGTGGCGGGACCCGCGGCCGGCGGCCCGCGGCCGTGCTGCAGCTTCTCGCTCACCGCGCGCTCCAGCTTCTCCCGAGCGGAGAAGCCGCTCCACATGCAGTCCTGGAGGATGACCGGGTTGGGGGTGAGGCCGCCCAATCCCCCCAGGCCGAATGCGTCCTCCTCGGCGGGGTTGCCCCACAGGTCGGCCTCGGGCAGCAGCATTTCCGTGGCCCAGTCGGAGGGCTCCGGACTCTGCTCCGAGAACGCACGGCTGGGCGACAGGGGGGGCGTAGGCAGCAGCTCAAACTTCTTCCAGATGTCCTCCCCCGGGGGGGTCGAGTCGGGGCCGCCGAAGTAGAAGTCATCTTCGTCCGGGTAGAAGCAAGGCTGCAGCGAGTCAAACTCGAGGTCTGGGTTCTTGCAGATCATCCCCGGCATGGTGGACGCGGTGCAGCTCGGCATTGGCTCGCCTCCTCGCCGGCGACTAAGCGCTTCTTTCCGCTCTGCTCTTTTTAATACCGGGGGTGCTTCCTTCCCGTGGGGTATGCGAAGGGCGGGGGCCCGCGCCAATCTCCAACGCTGTGACCAACGACACACCAGGAGAGAATGGGCAAGAGTAGACTGGGGGACAGGAGTGGGCACCCCCTCTAGCCCAGTCACCCAACCTCCCTGGCCAGCCCCCCCCTCTCCGCCCAGAGCTCCCGAAGGTGGAGGAAGTTCTGCTTCTCGTTCTCTCCCTCCCTCCTTTTGTGTACAAGCTGTCTACGACAAGGGGTGGGAGGGGGCATGCAGATGCAGGGGGTGGCGGCTCTGCAACTTTGCAAACTGCCATTTCATTCACACAAGGCACTGTCTGGGGGAGGGGGCTGTTCAAGCTACAGAATCCTAGCTCTTTACTAGCACGCCAACAAGCCCCACTTGCACCATCGTAGGGCCAGCTGCTCGAAGGAAGTCCCAGCTCTGCAACCCGGCTGCCGGGCATAGGATTTCGAGTACCCTCCCTCAATCCCCTCTTTGTAAAAATGCAACCTTGGGAGTGCAAATCATAGCAGGGGATTTAGGAAACTTTGCAAATGGAAAGAGCCTTTCTCTAGACAGAGACCAATAAGAGGCACCCAAATCCATAAACCTCACCCCTCCTCATTTGAGCCGATGCCCTTTGGCATTCACCCGTCGCAGGGATATCCCTGCCAATAGCTTATTTTGAAGCTATCCAGCCCCTCCCCCTCCTTCCAAATCCCCAACAACGACCTCTTCCTGGGAAGGGGGCGGCTGAGCCCCATCCTGGGAATGGTGCAGGGGCGCCGGCGCGGGGAGGGCAGCAGGGAGAGCGCGTCTCCTCTAAGCTGGAGCGGTCGTGACCCAGATTACCACCGCGGCAGCCTCGCCCCGACTAACCCCCTTTCCTTCCTCAGATGGCACCATTTGGAGAAGAGCCCCGGCTTGGGGTGGGGACGCACCGGCTCCTCGTCAGCTCAAACATAGACAAATCTTCTAGAGCAGGGCGAATTTCTTTTCGCTGAAGCCATTACTCTTTCCTTGCAAAGGCTGTAAAAGGATTAGGGCGGGTCTCCTCCAGCCCGGGTGCCTATCGGGCTGAACTGGCTTTTCAGGGAAAACCCCGAGATGGTTTTGTTTCGGAAGCATAAACAGTCCCCCGGGCACATTCGGACGCCTGGTGCGCGAGCCGCGATCCCGTCCAGGGCTTGTCTTGCTGCGGCGCTCGCCGCTCCCCGGGCGCCAGGCGGTTTGCAAGCCCCGCTCCTTACCTCCGGTCGACTGCCGGGGATCCGGAGGCGATTCTGCGCTGGGGTCTCCGGGTGGGCTGTGGGGGTGGGGGGGGTCCTAGGGCGGCTGCAGTCTGTGAGCGCTTGCGCCCAGCTAGCGCTCGCTCGGCTCCAACCCAGTTCCCAGGAGCCCCCCGCATCCACCCAGCGCGTCCAGACAGATGACTGTCACTGGCTGCGCTTTGAAGCTCGGGAGATATTATTAACTGAAAAATCTGACACACCCGGGGGGCGGGGAGAGAAGGGGGCTGTGGCGCAGACAAGGGGGAGGGAGAAAGGCAGAGGAAAGCGGCTTTACCCCGCCCTCTTGATTTCCATAAAAATCAGGGGAGGCGCCAAGGCTTTCGCGCCAAAAGCCACTTGCTTTTCTTCTTTGCAGTGGAGGTTGCAAAGCTGGGAAGCCCGGGATGTTCTCCTCCCGCCCTTTTGGACCCCCGGGCTTGCACCCGGTGCACTCCGTGAACTAGCTGCGCGCCGAGCGGTGCAATGCAGCAACCACCAAGTGGGCCTGGCAATTGCTTGACATTAAAAAAAAAAAAAATTAATTTTTTTTTTCTTAAGGGCTCTAGGGTATAGGCTAGGGAGGGGGAACCGAGGCTTCTAACCCAGTCCCCGCCTAAGCTGCATTTGTATGCAGCTAAGCTCGAGGCCAGCGTTGAGCAATATCTTGCTCGTGTGTGATCTGCGAGAAAGGCTACGAGGGTGCAAAATGGGAAGGAGCGGACGCGCCCATTTAAGAACAGACCGAAGGCTGTTTCTAGTCTCAAATGGAAAGGAGGAGAGGGGCGCCCCCCTTGTTTGAAAATAAATAAGTGCGGGCTACCAGGGTGGTGCCGCGGTGATTTCTTGGGCCGAAAGCGACACCTCGCGGAGACCCAGCAGAAAGCGGAGCCTCCCAGTGTCGACTGGGGGCCAGAGCGGGCGGCCCCGCAATTCTCCGCTGCCCTGACCATAGTTGGCAGGTCCTCACCACTGAGGATCGGGGCGTTCGGGCCCCGGTGACCAAGGGGATGGACGTCCGTCCCTTGCAGTCGTCCCCACCTCTCCCGAGGAACTTTTTCAAGCCATCGTTTTCTGAAATGATGGGCAGTGGGTGCGTTTCACAGAGAAGGAACTGTCGTCACACCTCCCGGCTCAAGTCTTGAGTCTAAACTGTCAGAGGCACAAAGGAAAGCTGCTGTTAGGACTCCCTTCTTTGTGCCTCAGTTTCCTCGGTTGTGAGCAGCGGTGCCTACTCATTGGCTGTTTTGAGAAATGAGTTACAAAAAAGCTTAGAATAGTGCCCAGTCCATGCGTGTGTTGGCCATTATTATTATCAGAGCACGGTAATTCTTCCGGGGAAATTAACCCGCTGTGGAACCCTGTTTGTGCCGTCGGGCCCCACCCCCGCAAATCCTCACTCGATTCTGGGAAGGGATTTGTCCCAGCTCCCAAACTCCCCAGGAACGAACTGGTCTCCAGCAGCCCCTTTCACAACCAAATACACAGCGAGTGGAATTTTGTCTTCAAAAACATTCCTGAGGCTTGTTTGGGGGAGGGGAACCTGGCCTCTAAGATTGGGATGGGCAGGCTTCCCCATTCCCCATTTGCCCGACAACTGGAAATGCCACCCCACCCCCTTCGCCTCAACCTTCAGCTAGTTGAGGGTGAGAATGCAGAGGGTCTGGGAGCAACCCATAAAATGCTTGGTATTAGCATTTGTGAAGGCATTCCAGCTGACCCTGGGTGCCTCCTTAATTCTGGGAGAGAGGCAGATTCCAAGGGCTCCAAGAAGTAGTTCAGGAAGGAAGATGAGCCCGGCTTCCACCGCACCTTTCTTATTATTTCCCTCACATATGTAAAACACATCACTCTTCCAAGCCAAGCCCTCCTGCTGCATTCTCTCCCTCCCTGCGTCCTGGCTTTTCCAAAGGAAAAAAGCAAAGCAGCTCTGACCTTCCATGGGTAGTTGTGTTTAACTGAAATATTTGTTTAATGTTCTCCTTCCTGGGAGACAGGTGCAGTTGGCCTCCTTAACCTGTGAGTTCCTGGGGCAGAAGAATCCTTGGGGCACAGTAAGGCATCTGTATACAGTAGGTGCTCTAGGATATTGTTAAGGCCCAGAGCACCGGATGAGACCTTCTAAGACAGCCAGATCTTCCAAGGCAGTTTGTGTTTATTAAGGACAGAAGGGGATGGTAACAAATGTGACAACAGAATCTCTTTCAGACTCTCAAAACAGCCTCAGAAAGTGTACTAGAAGCTACCTGTCCCACCTTCCTACCAAAATGGTGAAAATAGGCCAACCTGGGCCTGGCTGGTACATGTAAAAGTCCTCTCTTGCCACTCTCCACCACATTGGTAACGCACCCTCTGTGGTAGCACAAGTGTAGAAGGAAAAGAGAGGATAAGGAGACCTACATGCCTCTGAGCAAATCCTTTATCCATCCTGGACCTCAACCTCTAATTTGCTTTTAATGCAAGCCAGTAATTACTGACATGTCTGAATCTGAAGGTTAACAGAATGATAAAATGCAACAAATATTTATTGGTACCTTCCTTTGCAAGTAGAAAGATAAAAGACTGTACATAGAGAAAACTTACCTAATGCCCGCTCTGGGTATACTTGAGGAGAAGCCTGAAAATTCCTCTTCCAAATGTTGAAACACTCTCAGGTTGTGTGGACACAAACCAAACAAATCTTTCAATGACTTCAAAGCCAAGGTTTTGTTCATGTCCTGAGCCCCAAAGTGGACTTCGAACAGAGATGACTTAAAAAGTCTCATGATCTCACCATGGACTTGGATGGGAGTCACATCTAAGACACATCTAACCCTCAACGTAACGAGCATCTGAGAAGACAGAATTAGAGTCGGGATTTGGTTTACAAAGAAGGAGATTTGGGGGAGAGAAGAATGTTTTAGCCTACAAATTCCTTCTTTACTAAAAGAAACAACAAATTAAAAAAAAAAAATAGCAACAACACACATAAACAAATTCAGAAGCGCCCAATCCATGACTAGCTAGGAGACCAACAACCTTTTCATGCAGCCTCAGGGACCATGGTTTCTCCTAGGAACTTCATATTGGGTTCCAACCCTCACCACATACAGATGTGTACATTTTGCTCATTAAATGTTTTTTTTTTTTTTTTTTAAGTTCCTGTGATCAATTGAATCTTCATTTGAAAAAAAGAAGAAAAATTGGCTGCCTTCCTTACCCAAATGTAATGTGTGTATGTGTGTGTAATGTAATGTATATGGCTGGATTTAAGATTTAATTGGAAAAAGTAAGACTATAAAAGCACAAGAAGATGGGCTGGGGATGTGGCTCAAGCGGTAGCGCGCTCGCCTGGCATGCGTGCAGCCCGGGTTCGATCCTCAGCACCACATACAAATAAAGATGTTGTGTCTGCTGAAAACTAAAAAAAAAAAAAAAAAAATATTAAAAAAAAAAGCACAAGAAGAAAACAGATTAACAGAGTAAAAACCATATTTAATTATATATGTATGTAAGGGAGCCCCAATAAAATAATGAAACTGTAAGAAGGATGGGATGATTGAAGCTTACATAAAGGAACAGTGGCTTAGGTTCTGGGGGCTTATGGGAGGAGAGTGGGAAGTGTCTGATGGATAAGGGTGTTTCGCTACAAGCTGTCTGGAAGCAGTCTCCCAAAGAATAGGTAAGAGTCCACCTGGCACAGTGTTAAGGAGTTCTTCTTCCCAGGCCTTGAGATTCTTGGGGTGGAGATTAAGGACAATTGAGTTCCTTCTGGGGATCAGTCTTCTGGCAGATAAGGGCAGCTCAGAGCTTTCCGCTACCGGCACCTACTACTGTCTGAGTGCCCTCAGCCTTGTGTCATTAGTGCACCAAAGAGGCATATTTTGGGTGGCATTTCCTGAAGTACTTCAGAGGAAAAGATTATGTTCCCTGTGTACAAAGGACTCCTACAAATTGAAGAGAGAGAGAGAGAGAGAAAGAGAGAAATCGGGATCCCAGATATGAATAGATAATTCATCTAACAGGAGATGCAAGTTGTCAACAAAACATGAAAAGATGCTCAGCTTCACCAGTAGTCAGGGCAATGCAAATTAAATCTCATGGATTTTAGTGATTTGGGTCTGGCTGATTGGCCCTAAGTATGGTGAAGGGGGACATTGGGGTGGGGGCCCTCTCATACACTCCTTTTACTCTTGAACCCCAAGATTAAAATGATTCCACACAACAGAATCCCTCTGACAAGAAATAATAAAGCAAAAACATTAAAATACATAAACAAGAATATGTATTACTGCAGTGTTCACAATAACAAAACATTGTAAGTGATCTAAATACCAGTTAATATCCAGATGTGGTGGCTGAAGCCTGTAATTCCAGCAACTCAGGAGGCTGAGGCGGGAGGGTGGCAAGTTTGAGACCAGCTTGGGCAATTTAGCAGAGCACTGTCCCAAAATAAAATAAAAAGGGCCAGGGATATTAAAAAAAAAAAAACTGTCAATAAAATAGTATATATAGACGGTCCCTGACTCACATGGTGTGAAAGTGATACCCACTCAATAGAAATTATACTTTGAAATTTGAATTTCCATCTTGTCTCGGGCTTGCTAAATGCAGTACAATACTCTTTCCTAATACTGAGCAGTGGTAGTGAGCTGCAGTTCCTCCTCAGCCACACAATCATGAGGACCAACAGCAGACACACTTCAGAGTACTGTGTTGCTACACTAAGATGTTTGGTAGGTTAGATGTTACATGTATTTTTAAACTTTTTGGTGCAGGGATTGAATCTAAGGTCTCATGCGTGCTAAGCATACCCTGTACCCCTGAGCTGCACCACCAGCCAAGATTAGCTATTTTCAGGGGCTGGAGCTGTGGCTCCGTGGTAGAGCACTTGCCTCACATGTGTGAGGCCTTGGGCTCAACCCCCAGAACCACATAAAACTAAATAAACAAAGGTATCATATCCATCTACAACTAAAAATATATTTTTTTTTTAAAAAAAAAGCTATTTTCAACTTAGGATATTTCACTTTACTATGGGTTGTTGGGATCCAGCCCTACCATAAGCCAAGGAGCATGTGGACTATATCTCAGCAGTGGGATAATGAGCAGCCACAAAAAATAAAAGATACAGAGGTACTGACTTAGAAAGTGTCTGCAAGTAGGAACGAAAAGAAGCAAAGGATGGATGGAGGGGC